CGATACAAATTGTTTGGGCAATTTGCTTCCTCTAATTTAGCATGGATTAGTGACCACCATGCGTTATCAAAAGCACCTTCTATATCAAGACTGAGAGCAATTGTCCAGTTGTTATTTTTCCTCCCTTCTTCGATATCTTTAATTACTTTTGATATAGCATCTTCCGCTGAACGTCCTTCTTGAAACCCGTATTGATTTTCGTTAAACCATTTGTTTGAATTTAGCCAAGTTGTAAGACGATATACTATTAATTTATCCAAAATCTTTCCCAGAACAGGAAGGAGAGAGATTGGTCTATAACTTCTTACTTCTTTTCGATTTTTGTTTTTACCCTTATAGATTGGTAAGATTTTCGCAATTTTCCATTCAGCTGGGAAAACCGCAAATTTTAAACAAGAGTTATATAATTCGTATAGAAAATTTGGCTCTCTGTTATTTATTTGTTTTACAATTTCTATTGTAATTAGATCATGTCCTGGGGCTTTCCCTTGTTTAAAGTTCGATATTACCCAAGATATCTCTTCCTTTGAGAATAACGGATCATTTTCACCACTTGTTTTGTATTGTAAACTTTCTCCTAACTTTTTTGCTCTCTGCTGTCTTTATTTTTATCATCTATTTTAACGAATTCCGTAAGTAATAATTTTAAGCTCTCCTCTGCTGTAGCTGTAACAGATCCATTCTCTTGTTTAATTTCTGTTAACTGAAATCTTATTCTTAATTTCCCAGCTGTGATTTTATAGATTAAACCCCAGGGGTCTCCAGCACATTTTTCACAGAATTGTATCCAACTCTTTTCTTTACTTTCTTTTATCCTTCTCTTATAATTTTTCTGTTTCTCTAGATATTGTTCTCTAAAAATAGTTCTCAAGTTCTGATCGCTACATTTTTGTTATCTCTTTCTTTTTGCTCTTACTTTACTTTTTAATGCTTTTAATTCAGGAGTCCACCATTTCACTATTTTTTTCCTATCGTCGTACAGTGGGATATTCCTTTCAATTGCTTTTGTTATTATCCGAATTAACTTCGTAAGTACTGCTTCTGCCTGGTGGCAATTTTCCATATTTCTCAAATCTATCTTTGCAGATTTTAAGTCTTCCATTATTCTTTCCCAGTTAGCTCTTTTTAAGTTATACTTTTTAATACCATTATAGTGAATCTTCTGATTAATTTCAAATGTAATGTACCTATGTTCAGATAGACTCGTTTCATCACATACTGTCCATTTATCATCCTCATTTATCGCTCTATTATTTATTATTGTTAAGTCTATCTTTGAACTTCCATTTGAGCTTTCAAACGTGCTTTGCATATCTGGTTCGTTAAGAATGAACAGGTTTTTTCTGTTTACAAATTTTTCAATTTCGCCTACTCTAAGATCAGAGTTCTCATCAAACCATACATACGAATGTGCATTTCTGTCTTCACCTAATATTCCGTGACTTTGTTGGTATCTGCTGCATATTCTGTCTAAAATTTCCAAATGGGTAGTGATATTCACTTTCATTGGGAAATAGAAATTGCTTACTATCCATTTTTTATTAGCATTTAAAAGTTCAATCGTGGTCATGTGTTGATTGCAATAACCTGTTAACAACATACATTAAATATTTGGATTATTTAGGACAATAATAGTTCATGGGGTTTCCCCATCGCTGTTATATAGGACTTGGGTTTTCAAAGGCCAACCCATAGGTTTTCTTTCCCGACAATACGGTTCTTAAACAAGTATTATATTGTAGTGTTGTAGTTTATTACCCACTACCTGTGATACAGCACTAATACTTCTGTCTAGTTAATTTGCAAACATTTTATTTTTCCATTTTCTATTTCTGTTCTTCTATTGTTATTTATTAAGTTATCAATTTCCATAATTTATTTTAGCTGTAATATTTTTAATAATCTTTTGTCTTTCGTGGCATTCATCGCTTACTGCTTTATGGGTGAAGGTTTTTTGTTTTGATTTAATACAGTTTATACAGTTAGGAATATTATCTTCATTTTTGCATTCGTTAAACCTATGATCTCCAGCACAATGTGTACAGTAATTGCGATCATTGCGACATTCGTGGGCTGTATGCCCATATTTACAACATTTGTAGCTTTGCAGTATGCTAAAATATTCCTTTAATGTACAGTACATCTAACCCATCCCAGATTTACCTTTTTCTGTTTTAATAGTAGTAGTCTTAATTTAGGGGAAACCTCACATATCCAATGTTTAACGTCATCTGCCTTTACCCATTTATATTTTACCTTGATATCCTTAGTGTAATCTTCTATATCAACGTACTCTGTAGTAAAATAATCATTCTGTTTATACATTTTGTCAATTAAGGCTTCTTTTCCTATTTCTTTTGGGACATTATATATACATATTTTAGGCATTATCTTTTTTGGTTTTCTAGCAATCAAATCTTCTCTTTTATCTATTTCTTTTATCAGTCTTTCGCTTCGATTAATATTTTCTACTTCTATTAGAATTGCCTTATTTCGTAATTTGCGGACATTTTTTATTCCAATCCCAATTTTAACAGGGTCTATAATATTTTTTACCTTATTTTTAATTTCCTCTGATTCAACGTTATTATCTTTATGGTTTATTATTAGAGAGGTTGAGGCGCACATTTTAAACGTGTAAACGTGTACGTGTGACGTTCGGCGCCGCTTTCCCGTAAGCCTAAAAGTTTGACAATGGTGTTTGGATAGTCGGAGGAATCACGCTCGACATTCTAAACACCATCGTCAAACTTTTAGGCTTACGGGAAAGCGGCGCCGAACGTCACACGTACACGTTTACACGTTTAAAACGTGCGCCTCAACCTCTCTATTACTATTGCCTTACCCTCTTTTTGATGCTGTTTCTCTTCCTTTACTTTGTTTGCATATGTTATAACCTGTTCATTCTTTTTGGTATTACTCAGTAATTTATCTATTTTATTATTGATTTCGTTTATTCGGCCGTCAATTTTTATTCTATTATCTTTATATATTTCTACTATTATTTCTGTTATAAATTGGACATGGATTTTCGATCCTAATTTGGAGCTAGCATATTCTTCCATGTATTTAATGATTACGTTTTTAACAAAAAGAATTTGGGAGAGACCGACATCTTCCTCTTCGTCGTTCGAATGTTTTTTAACTGGAGAACAACTAAATTCTTCCATCATGATTCAGTATATACTTGTAAAACTAATTTTTGAATAAATAAAGTGAATTACTAATAACTAAAACACTACTAATGAATAAGTAATCAAACTGCAATAAATAATTTCAGAAATATATGACAGTCTATCTATCTAATGAAATTAAAACAGAAAAGTTTAGACTTCCGGTTATGATAATTTAGAACATATATATCGTTGGCCATAGTCATGACAACCTTGAAAGACAATAATTTTAAAATGGAATGATTTGTTGAATCACTATAATTTAAATTCTGTCATACGAATTTTAATAAAGTTTTTACCACAGTTTACTGAAAGTGTCTTCTCAGTGGGAGTGAAATATCTAATTCTAAATTCAGTCGGAAGCTCGTAATTTAAATTTGATTTCCGACCGGAAGTTGATCGAAAATTACAGTTTTAAGGCCAGAAAATGATCCCAAAACCTCAAAAGTTTTTCAATTTTCTTTTTGATATACCGGCAGATATATCACCGTAATGAAGTCAGATTTATCGTTCACTTTCGTTTCGGTGGATCGGTCAGGGCCATTTTTACGCTATTATTTAAGATTTAAAAAAAATATATATTAAGCCTACTTGATTGTTTTCTTATCCTATAGTCTTCCAATAACTAATGACACACAAAATATCGCTATTTACAATAGATATCCACAAAAGGACACAAAAATCTCAGGAGCTCGAATTGCAACATCCTTCCACATTCCTATTCTATCCGGCATAACCTATATGCCGGATAGAATAAGATATACTTGTAAGTGTCAGGCCTTTTCTGCAAAATTTGACACCAATGAGTCACTGTGTTTACAGCTGGATGACCTTGAGAACAGCTGGTGTTGGATTTCCCGGGACATTCTCATAGACATTTCATGAAAAGAAGGGTTTAAAGTAGGGTGAATACTAGCTGGTCGTATATTTTTAAATATTTTACAAAAATTACGTTTTTTATTGCGATTTCCGACCCCNTAGCTGGTCGTATATTTTTAAATATTTTACAAAAATTACGTTTTTTATTGTGATTTCCGACCCTACCCCAACTTAATTAAACGTATATATAATAAAATCTATTAATTAAAAAATTAAAAAACTATTGGAAGTCGTTTTTGACATCAGAAACTAGCTTTAAATAACTTTACCAAAGTAAAATCTGTGCACTACAACTTTAGAACGATGAATGAAATATGATAAAAAATACCATTAAAAACAATGAAGCTTTAATCATACGTCATTGAAGGTAGATTAAAATCACGATATAAATTTTTTTTTCGCGCGGGAAAAATTTTTGAAAAAATTTGGAGACAAAAAACATCCGAAAATTAAAAACAAAATCGGTGGTCCTAACGACGGTTTGTTTTGTAACGCTATGTATCCTGCCCGAGTTAACTCGAGTCCGGACGGCAAGGTTTAATTAATAATTTTATAATGTTTTACTCCATAACATCACAAATTCTAATAAAAATAACAATATAATATGATACATACTCACTTTTATATTTTTGAACATGTGCTCATAAAATCTTATATAACTACAACTTTCAAAGAATTTGTATCTTCTACAATAGAACGTTGCAGTAAATGTAAGTATAATCGTTTTACAGGTTAATTATATGCAGTATAGAAATATTAAAAACATTTTCAGGAGAAAACATACATAATTTCACAATATATTTCCAGTTATTTTCTGATACAACACTGTACGATAAATACATTACAATCACTTTTTTCCATAGCGCCACCCCTTATATTGTACCATTGTTGATCTATTTGCATACCATTTGATATATTGATTAGATTATCATCTTTAAATTTTATAATCTCAATATGTTCTTTAAATTTACGTTCATACATATCTTTTTCCGAATGAATTATTTTCATGTTATTTCTATTTGACAATTACTATTTTTTATATGGTTTAACCATGGCAATTATTGTATTTTAATCTAATTGCTGCTTCGTGTTCTTTAATTCTTAATTCTAATGTTCTACTAGTTTCACCTATATAATTTTTTTTTTTGGATTTTGGCAATTACAATTAATTTTATATACAACTCCTGATTTTTTAAATTTATTAACACCCATTTTATATTTATTATTATTGTAAATATTACGTGAAATTTTATCGGTCAAAGATGGGGCCAGAACAATATATATATGTATGTATGTATATATATATATATTTTACATTTTATTACAATTATTATAAACATTATTGATATAAGGAAAAGCTTTGTAATTCTTATTTTATTTATATTTGATGTTAAATCTGTTTTTAAATACTGGTTGTGCCACACTTTTAATTTGTAACTATGGTAATTATTCAAAATTAACTTATTTTCTAATTCTTTTAATTCAATTTTACGATTTATATTATTAGTAGTTCTTGTGTATATATATTTTTAGACCCATTATGTAGGTGTGTTTTTATAGTTTCAGGGATGCAGGATTGATAATTGATGGTTTTTTGATGCTACATGGTTTTTAAACGTATTAAAAAAAATTTGTCTATTTCATTAGTTATTGTTATATCTAAAAAATTTATTTGGTTAAATTTTTCTAATTCAATATCAAATTTTATATCTTTACTTATATTATTTATAGCATTTAAAATTATTGTATCATTTGTTATTTTATTATTATAAATTAAAATAAGTAGTCATCAACATATCTCATCACCATTTTAACTCCATTTTTGTATTTTTTCATTTATATTTTTCATAACTAATTCAGCAAGTTTTGGCCCCATCGTTGACCCCATACTGACACCATCTATTCGTCTGTAAAATCATTATAAACCTCAAAACAATTTCTGGTATATGCAAATTTTATAAGATTAATTAGTGTTTTTATGTTCTTCGGGCGACATTTGCAGTATCTTTTAGAGTGACACGTTATAAACCCTTGCTTACTTCAAAATGTTATCATGGATGCTGAGCGAAGTGTTAATAAAGTTGAGGGTGCGTTCTGAATGTTAATAAAGTTACTGTAGAAATTGTAAATCCATTACGAGCATAAAGTCGATCGAGAAGACTTGTTTGCTAACTGATAGAGACCTGATGGATTACATTAATGCTCATAACATCAGCTAAAACATTTCTGGGAGCTGCACGTCCCCTATCAACATTAAGCATCCTAACTAAAACAATCGAACCAATTTCAACTGCAGAAAATTACCCTAAATTTCACTAAAAAAAGTAAAACGAACGATTCTATGACGCAGATCCCTGTACTATTATTGTGAAATAATAACCAGAACAATTCTTATTGTTTTTGAAAATTTTAATAACTACGAGAAATGTCTTAGGATTTTTAGGCTTTACCACAGGTATTAATTTACATCTGATATAAAGAGTGCCAATAGCTCAATGGCATCAAGGTTGAGAAAAGCGAAATCCTAGTCGGATGTAATATACAGTAATACTTTAGATATCGTCGGTTTGGGATTTTGCCGATTGTTTTCGGAAGGATTAGCGACGAAAACCGAAGTATCACTGTACAGTGTACACCCATGTACCTAGATTCAATGTGCATTATTTCTATTGCTTTTGAACAGAGGGTAGATTTATCCTAGATTTACCCTAAATTAAGACTACCCGAAATATTACTGTGTAAGGTTGAAATTACTCTAGAAAAGGATAATTACTCTAGAAACGGCAGCACTGGTCAAGAATGAACACAATACAAACTTCGCAAGTGTTTGCAATGCGCCTGTTTACAACTTATTGAATACAATCTATTCTTTGTATCGTGGTTGCATCAGCTAACGTTCAGAACGCGTTATGGCTTTTCTTTATCACCACAACACGTAGTGGTCAAATATGAAAGCCATGAGCCGAATTTCATTTGTGGTCGTTTTGAGTTAGCCACAACGCGTTGTGGTCGTTTTTTTTCGCTCAATAAGCGATTTCAGTCTTTAAGTTTAACATGTAGGCCTATATAAACACATAATAATAATACATTTATATATTTTGTTGCAAANATAAACTCAATAAGAGCATTGAAACATGATGTTAGATTCATGGAAGGGTACATGCTTTCAAAATCCATTACCTTTCCTACCTCATCATTCATTAAAACCAACTCCTGTAACTCTTTTACCAACTTATTTGGATCATGGGCGGTGTGAACCGAGTAAAACTCACTAAACTCAACATAATAATAATACATTTTTAATCATTTTAGAATCAGTAGTGTGTATTTACTGTAAATGTATATACTGTTGGGTTGTTTGGAAAGTAATTTTGTTTTTTTTCATGAAAAAAAACAATTTTCTTATAATATATATGTTATTGAATTATGTAGTGACCATTTGTGTCATCTTTCTGGTAATAGCATGATTCCATTCATAAAAGTTCTGATCTTTGCTTACAAAAAACTTGATCCAAGTGATTTTTGACATCCTCATTTGAAGTAAATGTTTTACCATTTAAAAAATTTTGTAAAGATTTGAACAAGTAATAATCTGAGGGTGCCAGATCTGGCAAATATGGTGGGTGTGATAGCACATCCCATCCAAGTTGTTACAGCTTATGACAAGTTACTAAACTTGTGTGAGGTCTGACATTATCATGGTGAAACACTACACCTTTTCTGTTGATCAATTCTGCCCTTTTCTGTTTGATGGTATCATTCAATTTGTCCAGTTGACGGCACACTTCCAAATCAATTGTGGAATTATCTGGTAGAAACTTGAAAAAAACAATTCCCTTAAAATCCCATCAAACAGAGAGCATCACTGTTTTTTGAAGAATATTAGCTTTCAAAATGCTTTGAGTCAGCTCATCTCTTCTACTTCATGATCACTTGCATTTGACATTGTTATACATAATTCAATTTTTGTCATCAGTTACAATTCACTTCAAAAATAGATCATTTTCTTAATGTTTGAGAAGCAAATCACAAATATGAATGCGACAGAGCAAATCTCTTTCTTTAAATTAAGAACATGTGGAGCCCATATATCAAGCTTTGAAATGAAACCAAATTGTTTCAAGTGATCATAAACAGTTGAATTCAATAAATTTAATCTCTTAGTGATTTCTTGTGTTGTTATTCAGTGATTTGCTTCAATCAATACCTTTATTTTGTCTTTATCAGCTTCAACTGGCCTTCCAGAACATGGTGCATCTTCAATATCAAAATGCCAGAACAAAATTTTGCAAACCAAAATTTTGTTCATTTTGGCATTGTCGTTCTGTCAACACATCTTCTCCATACACGTTACACAATTTTTGTCTTGCTTAAACAGCATTCTTACCTTTTCGGTAATAAAAAGACAAATTATGCTAAAAATGCTGCTTTTGATTTTCCATATTTGATGGGACACCAAAAAAAAAAAAAACAATTGCAAAAAAATCAAACAAAATTTTTTACAAATAAACCTTGAAATGTCAGTTGTCAAATTATATAATGACAATATGATTTAGAATGAAATTGGTAGGTAAAAATACAACTAATCCCTCTAGTGGTAAAAAAACAAAATTACATTCTGAACAATCCAATATATATACAATGAACTTTCACTATTTTTACCTCCTCAGCTGTATACTTACAAATATAATATAATCACACACCAAACACTTGCTGAGCTTATTATTAATTTAATATTCAAACGTTTTCAGCCTACTTCTAATAGGCCATCCTCAAGAAATTACTGTTCTAATATCGAATACATAGCTTTCGAACAATTTTTAAATTTAAAATTTTAACATATTTTTAAAATTCCAAAACGTAAAATACTAAATATTTAACCAAAAATAACATATTATATACAATGTAAAAATAAACCTATATAACGTATAATATACATTAAACGAGTTAAAATCGCCACCAGTTTAAGGGTTTTTAATTCCCACTTGTTTTTCTATCACGTATTTCCATGCTGTTGGAAGAGCATTGGCGTCCTTGGCGTTTAAGCAGTTGTTATTTATTTTGCTCTTATATATCTCCATTTTTTCCATACCAAAGGCAATAGTTGGGGAATGGACCGGTTTAATTATCTTTGCCTCATCCCACTTTACACTTGCTCCATCCGTTTGCGCCATAATTGCCAAGATGGTGTTGTTGTGCCCTTTACTGACGTCATACATGTGTTCTTTTATACGCACCCCCAAGTTTCTTGTGGTGACACCCACATAATCTTTCGCTACTCCTAATTGCTGATTTTCAAAAGGAATTCTATAAACTCCAGCCTTTTCTTTCATTCCTACCTTGTCCTTATCATTCCTTAACAATCTGTAGATGTTTGGCGCCCGTTTATACACAGTTCTCGTGTCTTTATACGTACATAATTCCTCCATTATTCCCTCTACATTCTTGTTATATGTAAATTTATTAAATCTATTTTTCCTACCATCCCGTTTGCTTGTCCCTTGTTTGTAACCCTTGATCAATCCGTTAATTGTAGACGTTTTGTATCCTAAATTTTTCGCAACCTTTTTGATTCTGTTAATCTCGTTAAGTCGATCCTGTATGTTGGTGCAATATAAGAATGCTCTTTTTATAAGTGCCTTAAACGATGACATCTTGTATCTGAACGGATCATTAGACCATGCCGGAATATATAGAGGAGCATGTGTGGGTTTTAAATACACCGCTGCTTGTACACATCCTTGCTTAAACTTTATGTCAATGTCCAAAAAATGGATCTGCATAGGGCTTTTTTGTTCCAGTTTTAGTTTTAACCCATGATTATTGTTATTTATCATACTTAAAAATTCTTCAATTCTTCGTTCATCCTTCCAAATTATCAACACGTCATCTACATATCTTTTGTATAATATAATGTCCTCCATGAATTCTCCTAGGACCTCCTTTTCGAGTTGACGTACTACCAATTCGCACAAGAGCCCCGACATGGGACTACCCATTGGGACTCCTTTCCTTTGTTTGTACACTATCCCATAGAACGTAAATAAGGATTGGTAACACATTAAATCCGCTAGCTTATTTAAGTCCTCCATATACGCTGATAACCCTGGATTATCTTGTACTATAAACTCAATAAGAGCATTGAAACATGATGTTAGATTCATGGAAGGGTACATGCTTTCAAAATCCATTACCTTTCCTACCTCATCATTCATTAAAACCAACTCCTGTAACTCTTTTACCAACTTATTTGGATCATGGGCCACAAACATATTATCCTCCAAGTCTTCGTAAATATACATTTTTAATCTCCTCTTAAGTATAAAAGTTGGTGCACTACATTTTTCAACTACCGGTCTAATTTCCTTGCTCTCCTTGTGGGTTTTTGCAAACGCAAATATTCTGGGTATTCGGGAGCAAGGGTTATGCGACTTCTTTAATAAGGTCATGTGTTTTGCGAGCGGTGTTTTTTCAAGCTTTTTAACCCTGTTGTTCGTTACTGTTACAATCTTTTCGTCTACTATGTCACATTCAGTTTTCCTAATATAATCCTTAATAGCTTCGTTATACCTTCCTCTTTTCATAATCACCATTTGCTTGGTTTTGTCAGCCTTTGTTAACACCAACTGATTTTTTGTTAGCCACTCTTTTGTATATTTTATATTTAACCCTTCTTTACATTCTACTTGGTGCCTTTCCTTTTTTCTGAATACCATCTTCCATCTAAAATAATCCCTTTCTACTTCATTAAACTGGAACAAAAAAGCCCTATGCAGATCCATTTTTTGGACATTGACATAAAGTTTAAGCAAGGATGTGTACAAGCAGCAGTGTATTTAAAACCCACACATGCTCCTCTATATATTCCGGCATGGTCTAATGATCCGTTCAGATACAAGATGTCATCGTTTAAGGCACTTATAAAAAGAGCATTCTTATATTGCACCAACATACAGGATCGACTTAACGAGATTAACAGAATCAAAAAGGTTGCGAAAAATTTAGGATACAAAACGTCTACAATTAACGGATTGATCAAGGGTTACAAACAAGGGACAAGCAAACGGGATGGTAGGAAAAATAGATTTAATAAATTTACATATAACAAGAATGTAGAGGGAATAATGGAGGAATTATGTACGTATAAAGACACGAGAACTGTGTATAAACGGGCGCCAAACATCTACAGATTGTTAAGGAATGATAAGGACAAGGTAGGAATGAAAGAAAAGGCTGGAGTTTATAGAATTCCTTTTGAAAATCAGCAATTAGGAGTAGCGAAAGATTATGTGGGTGTCACCACAAGAAACTTGGGGGTGCGTATAAAAGAACACATGTATGACGTCAGTAAAGGGCACAACAACACCATCTTGGCAATTATGGCGCAAACGGATGGAGCAAGTGTAAAGTGGGATGAGGCAAAGATAATTAAACCGGTCCATTCCCCAACTATTGCCTTTGGTATGGAAAAAATGGAGATATATAAGAGCAAAATAAATAACAACTGCTTAAACGCCAAGGACGCCAATGCTCTTCCAACAGCATGGAAATACGTGATAGAAAAACAAGTGGGAATTAAAAACCCTTAAACTGGTGGCGATTTTAACTCGTTTAATGTATATTATACGTTATATAGGTTTATTTTTACATTGTATATAATATGTTATTTTTGGTTAAATATTTAGTATTTTACGTTTTGGAATTTTAAAAATATGTTAAAATTTTAAATTTAAAAATTGTTCGAAAGCTATGTATTCGATATTAGAACAGTAATTTTTTGAGAACTTTCACTAATTCAAACCCTGCTTAATCTGAACCAATTTTGTTCATTTTTCTGTTAAATGTTGCAGCCAAAAACAAAAAGAAATCGTAGATTATTTTTCAAGAAAATAATAAATTTGTAAAATTAATATGTACTACATATTTTAATATAAATATATTACAGTAGAGCATTGATTATCCAAATCAATTGGGGGCTGGGGTTGTTCAGAAAATTGATTTCTCGGATAACCGATTATCTACAAAAAAATACATTATTAATCTAGTATATTAGTATATCCCAATAATAGTATTAATATATTCCATGTTTAAATTTTTCTCTGTTGCGTGTCACTTTGCGTTGAATTTTCGTTGATGTTTCATTGATGAAGCCTAACAAAAATGTTTATAATAATAATTGTGGCTATTATATCATTAAAATTATTTCTTTATTTTGTACAAACAAAATAAATATATTGAAAAATAAAAAAATAAAAAAGAAATTATGCTTTAGAAGTTAATCTAACATCAAAAACGTTTGATTCAGCACAACACAGTTCAACTGGAACACTTTCGGTTAATCGACATTGCAGTTGATCGGCATTCGAATAATCAATGCTCTACTGTATATACTATTTTTTTTTTATAATCTTTAAACTACATCAGCTAAATGTCACATGGTTACATTAATTTTTTATAGTAAAATCACTCTTACATGTGTAAAAAAATTTTATTATAATGCTTAGTTCAAATTAGTCCAAAGTAATTCCAACTAAAGAGAGTATTCAAACACAAAAATTGAGAACCGTTTGATAGAAAAAGTTCTGTGTTCTCAAGATCTTGTGCTAGGTATTCAAACACTTCTCAGATGATCCTTAAGAGATCTGCAATAGCAAACAAGCCCATTTCAAGTACCAAAAATTAATATTTTGTTCCACTGTCGGAAATTTTACAGAGACCTGAGTTATTCTGTGATCTTGCTTCTTGGGGAATTTTAATACAGAACTCTAATCAATTGTTTACTTCAATCTCTGTAATTATCTAAATTTTAATCAACTTATTTGCATTAGTTACATACTAGCTACTCCATACAATGCAAATTGGCAGTATTGTGCTACCTTATTCTCATTGTTTTCATGAATTATATTTGTTGTTTTTTCTCAAAATTATTGAGAGATGTTAATTCTTAAAAGTATTTGATTCTACCCCTAATTAATTCCAACACGGACTAATATTAACAGAAGATCCTATATCTCTTTGTTATGTGACATTTGTTTCTCTGACAAGGTTTGAAATCATTTCCAGAATATAGTTGGTTATGCTTTGTAATGACTGTTATATCTATTTGTCTATGAGTGGAATCTTAATTTTCTGCTTTATTCAGGTTAAAACATGTTCTTCAAATCCAAGAATCTGTTTTGTTACCACATTGGATGAGTTATATATAGTTTTCTAGCTTATTGTAAAATTTAATGTAGAAAATTATTCCGTTCTGAAGAATTTTTTCCATCAAGACAAGTTTCCATTTTATTCAGGTTCTGTTTTAAATTGATTTTACTGTATTATATATTATAATATTTTATAATATTAAATACAATATAAACATTTTAATGTATATGTATTTGTCAGTGATTGGGTGGATCCATGGGTGACTGGGGCAATCAAACTTTCTATTGCAACATAAGTTTTCATTATTGTCAGTTTTGAATTCATTTCTCTTATAATGTGAGAATGACTTGAAATGGATGCTAGAACTTCAGTTTTTAATTGGCTTAAAGAAATGAAGCCTGATGATAATAAACTTTCTAATAATAAAAACTTTAATTTAAATTTAGGTAATATTGTTTAATATATGAATTAAGAATTCCCTGAGATTTGCTTTTGGATCAACTCCAGTAGTTTGGTTTTTTTTTTTTTTTTTGGACGTAGTTTTTTATAACTCTGCTAATCTGAATTTTTCATTAATCCAAACACCATGCAAATATTAGTTGCATTAAGTATTAGTGCACTTATTATATATATATAAAGTGCACTCATTAAAATATATTTTTTTTCTTCTGGGTTTTTAAATTAAAAAATAAATGTTTTGAATAAAATAAACATATTCTTTTACTTTAAATTTTGTTTTTAACCTATTAAAAATGTTTCTGATCTAAATAAATTCTTATTTCAGCTTTCTTATTTAGAAGCAACTATACCTCCTTGGGCAGAAGAAGTTACTTGTGCCTTAGTTCAATCTCCTGATATTGATGTAACGATAGATTCTAATATATTAATAAAGAATTATTTTCAAACACCAAGGTAATTATAATGTTTTATAATTATGTATTCATATATTTGCAACTTATACTCAATAATTTTGGAAGTTTTTTATTTGTTGGTTTTTCTTTTCAAAGTAGGGTTTTTGATTGGTTGATTATTGGAATTGAATGACTTAAATATATTCAGTTTAGCATTATATTGAAAACTGCAGTTTTATTGTAATCATTATTTTTTTAAATGCAAATAAATTGTTTTTTCTTTATCATTAATAAAAATAAAATTATTTCCTACTTGAAAACAAAAATAATTTACATAATAAATTTTTAGATTATATATTTGGCATTCAGATAAGTCCATAAGTCTGTTTTTACTTAATCTTAGATTACAGTCACACCACAATGACCACAGAATAATGGCAAATTAATGTGAAAGCAAACTCATAGACTATTGATTTGCTTTTTGATCCAATCCAGTCAGATACAAAGGCAAAACATGATGGATCAAAGAAAAAACATGCACAGTACACTAATCATGTCCTGTGTTGAAAGAAATATACACAACACCAACATACCGTACAAAGAACATAAAGTTGGAAGACCATCTGATGCAGACAACATTTGCAATTTCTGGTACAAAAGATTTACATCTCTGCACCAGGAAGTAGCCAAAAATTTTACACACACAATCAATAATCCTCAAGGAATACAAAATTTCTTGTTGTAAAAAAGAGAAGGCACTGAGGTCGGCGTTATGTGTGCGTTTTTTTTTACAACCTCAGTGCCTTCTCTTTTTTACAATATAGTATTTTGGCGTGATCGTCAGCAAATTGATCATTAAAATTTCTTACACAGGGCATCACATAACATAAAAGACAATACCAAATACCCTACACATACAGACCAATCACATGCCTTCCTACATTCTACAAAATACTCACTTCATTCATCATGAACAAAATATATCTTGAGCAACAAAAAGGCTGTCATATAAACCACATGGGATGCAAAGAACAGTTACTCATAGACTCAGTCATTTTATGACAAGCACACAAACAAAACAGAAACCTATATGGCTTTCAGCAGCATCCCACTCTTGCTTAGTGCATACATTACACTTATATAAAATACATTTAACATGCACTACATTTATAGAAAACAAAATGCATTACTGTAGAACAATACTACATGTGAGACTTCACAACACATACATCAAAAGAAACCAAATACACATAAGGTGAGATATTTTCCAGGGAGATTTGTTAAGTCCACTCTGGTTCTGTCTGAACTTGAACCCACTGTCCAATAGGTTAAACAACATTAAACATGATATATCAAATACAACAGAACAGCACAATACATATTATCTTACCTCATGTACAGTTCATAATCAGCATAAAATTCTACGCATTAACACATGCACAGCTAAAACCTATTAGAAATTGCACTTGCTCCACTGGCATTCAAACAGAGTTTGTCCTAGACAAATGCAGAATACTTCACGTAGAAAAAGGAATCCTGAAGAAGAATGGTTTCGTATTAGAAATGGAGATATCAATGAATCCATAGATGAGGTCAGTCTAGGAATGTTTAGGAGTACAACAGACAAATTCATAGAACACACACAAATAAAACAAAGATCTACAAAAGAATATGACAGACTAAACTTAATACTAACAACACAGATGAGTGCAAAATACACATTTAAGGCAATAAATACATACTTTGTCCTAGTATTGACATATTCATTTGGAATTATAAGTTTTTAATTTGTTGGTTTTTCTTTTCAAAGTAGAGTTTTTGATACATTGGACACAGACAAACTAGAACAACTCCAAAGGAAAACATGAACAATATTAATGAAACATAACATATATTATTGTAAGTCATCCATAGGCTGACTCTTCCTTATAAAGAGGGAGGATGAGCCTCACAGATATAGTAAAGTATAGTCACTACAAACAAATTCTGACACTGTAGGAGTTTTTCACAAGAAACATCAAGTTTACATAAAACTATAACTCTGGCAGACAGTAACAATACATCATTAAACTTATGCTCTGAGCACCTGAGTTCTCACATAGTTCTACACATAAATAACATAGACACCATTAAGCAGTCATGGACCCAAAAGGCACTTCATGGCAGGCATGCTTATCATTTAGCTCAGAACTATGTTGACAAAACTGCATTAAACTACTGGATGAGTAGGGGATGCCTGTTTGGAGAGAGAGGATTTGTGATTGCTATTCAAGATTGGGTCATCAACACTAAAAGCTGCAGAAAACACATTCTGAATCACTCTGATAATCACTCACAAATGTCTCTTGCAGAAAATACCAAATTCTGTCAGAAACAATACAACATATAATCTCTGGTTGCAAGTTTTTATCATAAATAGACTATTTACATAGGCATAATCAAGTAGCAAATATAGCACACCAAGAGCTTGCACACAAACACAGATTATTAAATATCCAGGTACCATACTACAAATAAAATCCACAGGCAGTATTAGAAAATTACACACAAACTATGTTATAACAGAGCCATAATCACAGATAAAACAATTCATCACAATGGACCTGATATCACTCTCATTGACAAATGCAGTAAGATCACTTATATAATAGACATCTCTGTTCCAAACATACATAACAAAAATTGCTCAAACTGAAAAAATCAACAAGTTACCTCCACTTGCTCAAGAAATAAGACAGATATGGAAGAAGGATAAGGTATTTAATGTGCCTGTTATCATCTCTTCTACTGGTGTTATATCACATATTAGAATAACTAATATTAAAAAGGAATTTTAACATTATAAGAAAATATATATATATATATCATCAACACTCACCAGACATACTGCAAATGCATAGACACTCCAACTGTATTGTTGCACTCCAAATGGAAAGCATGACAAACTAAGACTATAAATCGAAAAAAAACGTCAGAAATTGACAATAATAGACTTAGTTTAAACAGTAAAATACTACAGTTAAAGTTAAAAAAATATATATTTTTAAAATATCATCAACACTACAACAGCACAGACACCCCAACTGCAGTATATCTAGCTGGTGACATTAAACTTTTTAAACTGCTTTTTCTAGTACAAGGTGTCACAGCCATCAGTTGTTTTTTAGATTATTAGTAATTAATTACCTAGAATTAAATAGAATAATGTCAGGTTGCCGTGTAGTCCCTACTCCAGAGCTGTTCGAGAACTGTATAGAGGCAGCTATCTCCGCTCTCAAAGTTAGCCGGAATTCGAAAAGAGAGATTAAAGAACAGATAGAAATCAATCTAGGGAAGGCACAGGAGATGTTCCAATGCCTATTTGATACTTATAAGGAGTTGAAAGAGAAAAAAACAGGCAGAAGAGCTAGGCCTATCTGCTCCAATTACAAGTCTATCCAGCACCCCAAATGAAAAAAAAAATATTTATTCTTATCCATATCCTTGGGAGGAAGGAAGCAAGTCTTTTCATCCATAGCAGATCCTAAGGAAAGGTAAAAAAACATTAGTCAAACATTCGAGTATTCGAGTAAAACAAACAAACTACACAAAAGTCTAGAAACATTAAACCTTAATAATAACATATACATGGCACTATAGAAACCTGCAATATTTGAACACATGTCACATTGTTAAGAAGTTTCTAGATGTTGACACACACCAATAACACAGCTTAATGTTACACTTGTTTGGGTAGCTGTGCCTTAACTTTAGTATGGCATAGAACTTGGCACCAGTATCAGCTGAACATGACATTTACAACAACAACAATAATAATAATAATAAAAGAACATATTGCATTTCTTATGCATTATCACACTGATACCATACCAGATATTACCAATTAAACACTGGTATCAAATTACTGCCAGTCTCTAATAAACAATGGGTTTTAAGCTTTTATTTAGCAAATAAACATTCCTGTGTTTATTGCAGAAAATATGGTATTTTTTCACAAACAAAGATAACCTTAATTCAATGCAAACAAACATTTTCAACCTAGTGATAGATCCAGAGCCGGCCCTACCATAGGGCGAACGGAGCAGCCACTCCAGGCGCTAAGTCCTTGGGGGCACCTCAGTGGTAAAGAAAATTACAGGGTATAAATTAGGGGCAACCAAGGGGGGTGCCATAATAGGATCTTGCTCCATCCTAAAACTTGCCTCGGGCCGGCACTGGATAGATCTGCATCAGTCCATATGACTTTACACTCTATTTTGGGATGTAAATAAGAATGTTATAACATTTCAAAATTTGGAATAACTTTGAAATTCAAAAGTGTCTGTTGACACTTTTGAATTTCAAAAATATATACAATTTAAACCTATGTAATAATATAAATTAAGTAGATGTTATAAATATTATAAAACTTAATAGATGTTATAAATAATATAAATTTTCTTAAGTTAATAAAACCAGTTTTCATGTTTACAAGTCAGCTAGTGGCTAAAATATGAGTGAGGACTAATAGCAAATAGACTTGTGTAGGATACTCTTACCAACAATGGTGGCATTAATTTGTATCCCATTACAAAATGTTTGATTCTTTCTATATGTAAGTTAGTTGTGGAGAGAAGCATTAGAAAACAAGAAAATTGAAACATCAAATGAAGAAAGGAAAAGAGAGCATAGGCTAGTGTCTAAACTGAAACTGCAGAAATTGCAAGGTAAGAAGCAAAAACTGATCCAATATGCTGCAAGTACTGTACTTGGAATTGCTAACAAAATACAGCATCTAAGAAACTCATGCCAATGATGATTGTCTTAAGTCTCACTATGAGAAGAGGTAAATCACTTTTAAATTGAGTCATCTAGAAACTGTGATTTCTTTTGAAGTGACACTTTGTAAGTCCTTTTGGTTATTGAAAAACAAAACTTTTACATAATTATTTAAACTTTTTAAAATAAGTTATTTGTTAAAACTATTTTTTCTAAACAACAGTTTTTACTGAGAAAAACAGGTTAATAATCACATTACAAGCTTATGTTCATGCATGAAATCCAATGTAATAATTTTGGTCAAAGTCAAGCATTTTTAGTTTTAATATTCAGTGGACACCATGTCTAAATAAATTGTTACTGTATAAGCCTAATTCACTATCATTGTAGTGGAACATTGTTAGATAAATATGGATCATTGAAAGAAAAGTACATTATTTTCATTTCTACTTAAGAAGTTTTTTATGGTTAATTTATTAACCAATTTATGGTTCTTTGAAAAACTTTTTAATCAAGTTCTACGGTACTATATTTTAGATTTATTTTGTTTTAATCTTAGAGATGAAAATTGAAAATAATAAAAGTTTTAAATATAATTTGATATTTAAAGCACTATAGATTTTAAACTTAAGTCATGAATAAGTTAGCAATAAACTTACATATTGTTGGCAAAATTTCATTTCAGATATGTTGTTGTAGGAGATATTATAGCAATAAGTTCACAAGGTAAATTTTCAAATAAATTTATTATTTATTTGCAATTTTTAAAATTGTTTTATGTGAAATTAAGTTACCTGGATTTTTCCAGCTGATGTTACATTCAATGAAAAATTTAAAGCTTCCTCATATGTGAGGTAATTATTATGTTTTTATAACATTACTAATATTACATTAATAAAACCTTATTTATTATCAAATTACATTAACATTCTTAAGATAACAAATCTTATCTTAAGAACAGCAATTGATATGCACTTATTTTTCCATTAACCCCTTACACAGGCTTTTCTTGAAAGAAACATGCAATAATGCAACACTTTGCTAGAAGTATTAATGTATGGTTTGCTTGACAGAAACCATTAAAAAAAACTGTTATTCGATTCGATTCATTCGATCATTATAAATTCAAATTTAAAATGAAAAATAGATAAATTAACAAATAAATAAAATAAATATACTAAATACATTGAAGCCACAACAATATAAATAACATNCGATTCGTTCGATCATTATAAATTCAAATTTAAAATGAAAAATAGATAAATTAACAAATAAATAAAATAAATATACTAAATACATTGAAGCCACAACAATATAAATAATAATAATAAAATAAAATAAAATTTGAATTTATAATGATCGAACATTCCATTTATTATAATTTTGAAATACATTCAAATGCCAGTTAACCTGAAGATGGCCTATTCCATTAGGCCGAAAACGTTTGTGTTTAAATAAAGTATCCTTAGTGATAGAAAGTGTTAAATGTTTTATTAAGTGTTTTTTAAAAGAAGCTGAGTTTGATATTTAATTAGTTATATTTTATCCATGGAAATTGTTATTTGAACATAATTATGTAAAGTACTTACACATACAGTATGAAGCCAAACCAGAAAGATAATATTGTTGTAATGATACAAAATAAGGTAAAATTGTTTTTTGATTAATGTTAATTGGTTCTTAATCAAAAACCAATTTTACCTTATTTTGTATCACTACACAATGATTAAAACCAACTGTTGAATTCATGTATATTTCTTGCATATATTACATTCATATATATTAATATAATGTATGTCAATATGCACAATAAATCTGCTTATAACAAGTTACAGAATTTTTCAAATTACATGTAAATATGAAAAATAACTACTATTTTATACAATTACTGAGATTATTTTCATTATCCATGTTTATTTCAAGCAATATACAATTTGGTGATGCTGGTCATTAATTCAATAATGACAACATAAAAGCATATGATTTTGAGCTTTAATTAATTTTACATCCTTTCAAAATAAAGTAATGCATATTACAAAATATTTACAAATTAACAGAAATATAATGTAATTTGGTAAGAGTTTTGAGTGATGTCATCTAAAAATTGCCAATTAAGTGTTATTTTTTGAGTCTGTAGCCAAATGAAAAGTACACAAATAATATATATTATGATAGCATAGTCAAAACTAAATAGATTGCTACAAAATAACTGAAAGATAGATTGGCATTATTATGAACTTTTTAAATATGTATAAATTATTCATAAACCATGTTATAGATAGTTGACTTATGTGTAGTGTAATGTTTTTTTTTTCATTTTCTTTTAACAAGAGTTATGAAGATGATGAAAATAATATTTCCAGATGTTATGTAACAGAAAAAAATTTCTCAGAACTTTTACTTCTAACATTAAACTTTAGAATGTTATTAATTTAATCTCTAATTCTCACTGCTTGAAGTGAAAATAAGAAAATTTTTAAGAATGGTTTCTAGTCTATTTGAAATCAAATTGCTTAAAATGATTTGAAACCATATTTTTACTATTAATGGGAATGTGTTTTGGTCTTTGAAATTGGAACTTTATTTCTCCAAAATTTATCAGCTTAAAATTTTGCATATGAGGTCTGTTCAAAAAATATGCGGACTGACGTCATAAAACAAAATGTACTTTATGTAAAAATTACATGTCTGGGTCTCTTCAAAATACTCTCATTCCCAACACACACACTTATCCCAACAGTGTTTCCATGTGTTGAAGCAGTCCTGGTACGCTTCTTTTGTAATGTCCTTCAGCGCCTTCATCACGTTTGCCTTAATCTTGGGAATCGTCTCAAATCATCTTCCTTTCAGGGTCTTTTGAGTTTGAGGAACAAGAAAAAGTCACAAGGAGCAAGGTCAGGTGAGTAGGGGGTGGGGAAGAACAGTGATTGAGTGTTTGGCCAAAAACTCATGAGTTCTGAGGACTGAATGGTCTGGAGCATTGTCGTGATGGAGAAACCAGTTGCCACTCCTCCACATTTCTGGTCTTTTGCAACGGATGACATCCCTCAGACGTTTCAGAACTTCAATGTAGTAAATTTGGTTCACAAGTGGTGAACAACAGCCTTAGCATCAAAGAAAACTGTCAGCATCACCTTGACATTGGATAGAACTTGGCGAGCTCTTTTGGGTCTGGGGGACCACTTCAAACATGCCGTATACTTCATAGCAACATCACCATAAGCCGTGTTGAGCGTAGCAAATGTTTTAGTCGCAGATTTTCTAAGTTTAACATAAAATTTCACAGCAAGTTGTTGCTCCATCAGGTCATTCATTCTGAAATCCGACAAATGAAAAAATCGCACTTCACTAAAAACCGCGTAGCTAATCAATAAATAAAGATATCTGTAATTGGGAAATGGCTTTATCACCAGACAAACTGTACAAACCTAGCGACACCAAGCTGATTCCCCTGGAACCAACTGGAGCTGCACAATTCAAATAGTTCACATATTTTTTGAATAGACCTTGTATTTATTTATTTATTTAACATTAGTGTTAAAAATATATGTTAGATTAGAAATTTAGAGATTGGCTTCATCTGAAACATACCTAAATTCCTACTACAAAATATGATTTTAATATTTGTATTATTAAATTAAAATAAGCTACAGTTACATATAATTTTAAAATAATAAACATCATTTTCAAATTATATGCAAGAATAGAGACCAATCAGGAATGATTTAAAGAAATAAAATGTTTAAGTGTTAAATGCATTAATATATGACAATACTGTCTACTTATAATAGTAAACTGTTCTAGCCATTAAGTTTTCAATAAGTTTATTGACTAAATTATAATTAACCAAAAATACCACACATGTATAATTAATCTGCATCAATATCCTAATTTAATCAAATTGTTCTTTCAAACACCATAACCGTGTATTTCTATTAATAGGACTTATTATACTGGTGTATAGAATTATAGCAACACAGTCACACAGATTAAAATTGGTTTATTTATGATTACCTGCAGGTAATCATAAATAAACCAATTTTAATCTGTGTGACTGTGTTGCTATAATTCTATACACCAGTATAATAAGTCCTATTAATAGAAATACACGGTTATGGTGTTTGAAAGAACCACACATGTATAATTCAAACTAACAAGAAGACATCCAAACTTTATTTTTAAACCAACAATTGCAAATAGCAAAACAATCCTTTTCCTACAGTTGTTGATTTAAAAACATATGAATGATTTAATAATTACAAAATACACTCCTAAAAAGTGAAATTGCAACACTACAAAGGAATGCATGTAGCCACATTAACAAATTTCAGGACTGGTAGAGATGACAGAGATATGCAAATGATTAAGTTTGTGCACACATCAGGTCATGTGGTACCCAGTTTTGGACAATAAAGACCAGCAGCCAGCTCTGGCCGTAAATGCTTTCAGCTACAGTTTGTAGCAGCCGAACTTTTGAAGAAGCATAGCTGAATGATACCAGTTAACAACTGGGGAACGAGACCATTTTCTGGAGCTGTATGACCTCAGTTTGTCAATGAATGCAGTTACTATGCATGTTGGGCATGATGTGAGTACCATCCAGCAATGTGTGACATGATGGATGCAAAGCATCTGTGAACACACCAGAGGGAATGGATTGCACTGGTGCATGACACAGTGCACAAACTGGCAGATTTGCTGGTCTGTGCATTCTGTTAATTACTGGCATATGAAATCTGAAGCTGCCTGTTGCCATCAACAGATGCATCTGTGTCCACCCAAATCATTCACAACAGGTTGCATGTGTGAGGTCAGCCGATTAGGGTGAGGTTTTTTTCGACAGCCGAGCGGTTCTTTCTGTCGTGTGGGCGCAGAATGACTTCCTGAGACAGGTTTACCATATAACCGTTTATTAAACATAGAAATTTTCCTTACAAATTACTTGTTAGACGAGGTAGCACCCCAAAGCGCACGGATAAAGTTCGAAATAAAGTTCGTAAAAGTCGGTTTTCGTCACTAGTGGATGGACGTTGCCGGTGAAACACTCGGTGGGCCCCGGGGCGTTGATTACGGCTTTCGGCGGCTTCTCGCGGACGAACCGACGAATCTGTCGATTGCTAGGAGCACCCAGAGAACGATGCTTCCACGATGTTCCAAAATGTCCTTTTTTTTTCTAAGATCTGGAGCACAACCGTCCATGAGACGACACACTACGTATCCAAACACCAAGAACCAAAAACTACAAACCAAGAACCTTCGTCTCTTGAGTCGCACAAATTTATAGATTTTTTTACAGCAGTCGCCTCTCCATTGGTCTCTCATTGTCACCTGGTGACAATTCGAAACCTAATGGAGGGCACAGAAGAGGTTAACATAGCGACTGAATATGATCCTCTCTCTCGTCGCGTTTTCCTCGAATTTCTCCGTTTCCATTGTTTAGCACTTTTATGAAAAAAAAAACAATTGCATTGTTCAATCGAGACACCTAATCCGTTTCCTTATCGTCTGAAAAGGATCTCGTTATTTTCGATCGAACCCATAATTCGGACCTCTCAGTCGACCCCTGTTCGGGTCCTCACACATGAAACCTGTTGTGAATGGGCTGCACACAAGGCAGCCAGCAACAGGGATGTCATTAACCACTCAGCACAGAGCTGCATGCCTGGCATAGTGTCATCATCACCACAACTAGACCATGAATGGCATTGGGTGTTGTTTACAGATGAATCCTCTTTCTGTCTGTGGAGGAATGATGGCTGTGGGTGGGTGTGGAGGTATCCTAGGGAACCTATGTGCCAGCCCTTTTTTTGACCCCACACTGGGCATCATGTTTGATCGGTGGACAGCCTTGGTGCACATTTCTGGTACACTGACAGTAGAAAAGTACAACACACAAATTGTAGGGCCTGTAGTTTGGCCATTAGTGCAGACTTCACCAACATGGTATTCCAACAAGACAATGCCTGACCTCATGTTGCATGACAAACTCTCACCAGCCTGGACGGAATTCACATTCTTCCTTGGTTGTC